GGGAGAGAGAGAGAGAGAGAGAGAGAGAGAGAGAGAGAGAGAGAGAGAGAGAGAGAGCGAAGTAGACGGATGGACTTAAATGATGACGACGAAATGGTCTTGAGTAGACTGTAAGACCTGTTTTACTCGATACACGAGACATTATGAACATTATTCAGGATTTATTTGGTAATCGCCGATATATTGTCATATAATTTATTACAATTTTTAGCGTAAATTATGTTTTTCTTATTCTCTATTGTTTCTATTTACTCTTTATAACGATACATTAAAGTGCATAAATTAATATTATTACATTTTATATAGAATAATACATATAACATTTTTTTTTTTTTTTTGGTTTTTGTTTTGTTTTTTATTTGTTTTTTTTTTGTTTTGTTTTTTGTTTTTTGTTTTTGTTTTTAATAAAATCTTAGACATTATCTGTAGATTATATTTTTGAAAATATCATATTAATATTTTCTACTTTTATGCAGTTTATATTATATTAATTTTTAAATATATTTTAAGTTCTTTTAAATATAATTTCGTACAATTATGTCAGAAACAAGTGAGATAGAAATAACAAAATTTTAATTTCCTCAAAACTGCATTGATTGATTTAATATCCTAAAAGTCAGAAGCACAATCCATCCACGTATCTGGATTGTACGTGGATACTGAATTATTGTATAAATGTTACAATGAAATTTTCTTTATCCAATGACATATGCAATTAGTTTAAACTATCTAGCGAATATGATGTGAAATTAAAAAATCTATTAAATATATTATTTCCTGTTAATTCACTATAGACTATTTTAAAGTAATGCAATTAATATTTGTATGACTCGGCTGTAATAAAAGACTAATATTTCTCTGGTAGAATAATTAACATTATTAGCCTACGATAAATTAAAATTTTTCCATAAACAGTGAAATGATTGAACGGTAATGAAAAATGACATTTTTAAGGAATAATTGAATGGATAGTTTGAAAAATTTTATCGCTTTAATTATAAAGTTAAAAATAGATTTATCTCTTTATGATAAGAATGGAAACATTTAGATGAGAGGGATTAATTTGATTTCGGAAATTTTTGCAAAAAGCTTGAACTTAAGTTTTTAGTTTAGATTCTATCATATCGCGGTCTCATTATTCAAATTATCCGGTAAATCAATATTATAAGCGTTAACAGTTAATAAAGATAATTGTTAAAAAATTTTTATAATGCCATACTACACTCACATTGTACTCTTACATATCATCTGAGCGTTCACCAAAACTTGACGATAGTAGATAAAAATACGACGCTTCGCAAATTCCTAAATAACAAAAACTTATATCCTCTTCGTATATACGTAAACAAGTGGTAGAATGTAATTAATGATCGACCTTCTTGCGTTTCCATGCGCTTGTATTGTCTTAAAAGCAACGCGAACGGGCAAAGCAATCACGAAATCGGAAATACGAGCCATAACAGACAGGACAGTATTTTGTTACATTACATGGCCCCTCTCACCCGCCAAGCTCCCACTCATTTCCTCCGTCCTCTGCCCTTTGCGAGTATATTTGTGATTCCTTCGCCTACAATTTGTCCCTCCCGGCTCCTTTTCTTCTCCCTTTTTTTTTTTTTTTTTCTTTCGCTGCAATTCATGCACACGCTTACGCTCTCTCGCGTGTTCGCGGAAGCACGTAACGGCTCTCTTATGAGCGGCGTCCTAGGTCGGGCAAATTTTAATTTTAAATTTTTACCCCGGCGAGGCTGAAGGCGACGGATAAGCACCGCTGCCTCTGCTCTCCGTGTGTGCGTGCGCGTCTGAAGCGCCAGCGGCTTAGATTGCGCGGTAAATTCGTCAGACGTGCAAATTGTCGCGATATGCGTCCGAGGGGCTGAACGTCTGTGCGCGTACACGCGGCTCAAAGGGATGCGGCCCTGCATTTCATATGGATAAAAAACAAAAAGAAAAGAGAAAAAAAAAAAAGCAAAAAGAAAAAAAAAACAAATAAATAATAAAAAATACGCGGACTCATTATTGCGGGGCCGAATGATGTTACGTTAAAATTGATTTGATTTTTAGGGTGAAAGATATATTGTACAAACATTCCTTCTCCAGTTTCTCATAAAATATAAATTCGCTCGATAATTCCTTTTCATCATTCTTCTTTATCTTATTGTCTTCTTTTTACTCCACGAAGCATTGTATTTCTTACATTACTTTCACAATAATCTCGGACAGTTTTTATCTTCTTTATTTTCATTTATTATGTCAAGATTATTCCATCAGCGGATAATAAGAAACTATTTTCGTATATAAACGTTTGGAAGAAAGATATTTAAAGTACCTGCACCGAGAGTAATATAAAGTATATAAATTCATAAACTACCGAGGCAATGTGGCGACAGACTTGTTATTAACTTACATTGATCCATTTTATATTATTTGTATTTTATTATTATTTTAATTGATATTTACAACGATAGAATGAAATTTATACAATAGTCCGATTCAAATTTCAATAAATTTATGTCCTAATATTATGATTAATTTTGAAAAAAATGTATTTTAAACGCGCATGAATATTCTTATAAATATTTTTATTTTTTTAACATTTCGCTTATGTGATAATTAATTAAGAGCTCATTAGATACGATGTATTATTACGTGATTTTATAAAATTTTTTTTTACCTATTGACGCTCAAAAATCAAGTGAATAAATCAAGAGAGGAGAGCCATCGATTTAATGAACGGTAAGTCTTAACGACTCTAAACAAAAACAAAAAAATCATCAAAGTACTTTGATCGAAATGAACTTAAATTTAATCTTTTTTTTTTTTTTTTTTTTTTTTTTTTTTTTTTTTTTTTTTTTTTTTTATAAAACATTTTACTACGCTGTTTTAAGACTTACAATAACATACGTTACATCGATCGTATAAAATGTTCGTTATCAGATTACAAAAAAAAAAAAAAAAAAAAATTCGGTATATCCGAAGACTGACGTCAAAAGTTAAATTGCGTCATTAATCACGTATATTGTAAGTATAATTCAAAGTACTGGGAGAGTATCTGCATGATTTAAATGCTCATATTGGATGAGTTTTAATGAATAAATCGTGCTTCTATTCTCATCCTAAATCGCAATGGTTGATGAGCGTTTTAATTCCCCGTATGCCAGATAAATAATTAACCTTTTGAACCGAATGAGAATCGCTTTATATTAATTTACAATGCCATATGATACGATAGCTGCACGCGTATGGTTTATTATTTTGATTATTTAGTCGTTCTCAACATACGAATAATTTAAATATTTCTAGCATATAGTTACAAATAATTGTAATACTTTGTTACTCTGAAATTAATAACTTATTTTATGATTCCGAATGTATAAAGAATATAGAATTATGAGCATAATATTTGTAAAAAAAAAAAAAAAAAGTAGATATTCTGATATATTAATGTAAAAATTGAAAAGTAAGGAAGAAACGGCAACAGAAAAAACAAGTTCAATTAAAACGCGTTAATTATCCATTACCTGAAAATATTGTAACATAAACGTAAACCTCAACATTTTCCTTCATATCAAAATCATTATATTACTATTATTATGATTATTGTTGTTATTATTATTATTATTATTATTATTTAAGTTATAACTGAAATTGCATTATTTCACGCGATCACATTTATTGGCTGACAAAATATATATTTTACTACTGATTCAGCGTACCGCTCTCTTTTACGTGCCTTATCTTACATCAAATTTTTTCTTCTAAGTGAAAGAGTTGGAGCGTGAAACAGATTATAATAATGTATACAAAAATATGAGCGAGTAAAAGAACTATTCCTTTAGTTAAAAAAAATTATGAATAAATATTAGTAAAGTGAATAAGTGAAATATTTTATATAAATTAATAGTTGAGTATTACTAATATTTTTGCTTATAATATAAAATACGATATCCAAATAATATATACTACAACGACGTAATTGTGTTGGTTTTAGAAAACCTACGATATGTATATGTATTATTCAAAGTTATATATTACTTGATATTCTCAAAAAAATGATTTATTTAATTTTCTTGTGTTTCATATTGCAAATTTTTTTTTCAAATAATATCAATTACTTTGTCGTTCAAAATATTTCGTTAATTAACATACCCAAAAATCAAACACATTTCAATCTTTATATTATTCATCGCCTATATCAAATATTATGAGAATATTATTTTGCTAATAAAATCAGGAACTATCGCTGATAATTAATTAATTATTTTTAATAAACATTTTTAATATATCCATTCTAGTCGGATAGATATGTACGCTGACTATGTTTGTCATTAATTTAATTAAAATGACAAATTAATTAAATTATATATATAATTTAATATATATATATATATATATATATATATATATATATATACGTATAAATAATGTAATATAAATAATATAAATAATTATGTATAGACAATAAATAATATAAAATAACTGTGTTATCATTGTAGAAAAAAGTTAATTACACTGAGAATCTATTGTCTATGTCCTTTTCGACATTACACGAATGGATTATTAAAATTAAATTTAACTAATGTTACACGATAATTCTCAACATTATAAATAAATAAATTTATAAATTTTTTTCTCATCTCAGATATAATCATGCATATTAAGAATGTAAAACGTAACTTCAAAATTACACATTTTATAAATTCTTAAGAACTTAAGACTCGCGCTGATAGTCATTAAAAATCAGGCATCTTTCAGCATCAATCAGGTAGATTATTTATTGTCATTTTATCTCGTATGTATTATATCGTCGTAGGCGACTATAAAGTTTTACTATTGAGAGCAACGAATAATAACGGTGAAGTGAAAAATAAGGGGAAAAAAAAATGTATTATAAGATAAAAGGAAAACGAGGGGACGGCAAAGGCAGTTAGTTGTCTATGTAAAAGATAATCATGGAATCACCGCTTCTGATCTCAGTCGCTTTGATTACTCGTTTTCGCAGACGCTGAATGGCGGCCTCGTGATGGTTAGTTTTGACAGCGCTCATCTCAGTTGTGGAGATAAGGCATCAATGCACGACGTCATAGGTAAGCTCGCCCTATACACAACCTCTCTCGCTCTTGTTCTTGGTGAGAATTTGAAAGGCGCTTGTGCCTCGACTTTGTCAAAGGCACGATATATGGAATTGGATAAGGATACGAGGCCTTGTTCCGCTCTATTTTTCAGCGCACATCAACCACATAAGGAGGGTCGCCGGGGTTGATCATGTTGGTCTTGGAGCCGGCTACGATGGAATATCAAGGTACCCTTTTCTTTCGCCTTATTTACGCGAGCATTTTATTGCTGATACTTGGGGGGAGGGGGAGGGGGGTGGAGGAGGGGAGGTGGGGAGGTGGGGAGGGGGGTACGAAAGTGGGCGGAATGTGGTTGGAAGGAAACTCGCTTGTTCATCGCGTTCCGTAGCAAGAGTCCTTGCAACTATCGCTCCCTTGTTTTCCCTCGCGTACTATTGATACTCGGCAATATTTTTAAAAGCCGCTGCTAAGACTTACATTTTATGTATAATCCGTAAAGGCTTTGCCGCAACGATCTACCGTTGCGCAAAATTTCTGCCCATTATTTCAAATGCATTTATTTTCAATGTACTCGTTGGATTCTCTTCGAGTTTTAGCGAAGATCCGATATATTTTATACGATGGTATTGATTTTTGTGCCTTATTATTCGTTATTACAGAAGAACACTTGTTCTACATAATGATATTTAATTACCACCGATTATTATTATGATGATATTATATAATAAAGTATGAGTAAATATGTATGTTTCGACTCGAACAAAATCGTAATTACCTAATTGGTTATAAAATATCTAAATAGTAATAACTAAAATTCTAATTAATATAATATATAATATTAAGATTTATATCGTTTAAAGTTATCCTTGATTAGTCCTATGAAATAAAATTGAATAAAAAAAGATAATGGCAAGAAAAGATGACGGACGAATACGTTTAAATGAATATTCACACAATTTATCATTTTAGTAAAGCTATGAACTCTTAAAACTAAGCAAATATAAGTATGTAAAATTGAAGCTTATTTATGTATGAAATAAAATTGAATAAAAAAAGATAATGGCAAGAAAAGATGAATATATAAATATATTTTAATGAATAATTAATTTTTAATTTAATTTAATAAATACTATTATGAGTGATATTAATTTTATAATTACATCTTACTACACTAATATCGCTTTTAAGCATACTTAAATTAAACTGCTTGTGCTATTTAATTATTTTAATATGAACAGATTACTTTTTACTTTCGTGGCAATATGACCGTAAATTGTTTATTTTACTTTGATTCATTCCAACGATATAGTAATAATTAGCATTATAATTTTTAAACAAACTTGAGGCAATTTAATGTTAATTTTATAATAGTTATGATTAATTTGCATTGAATGTTGAGTAGAGAATAATATAGGTGATATCATTTACATTGTTAGAAAATATTCGAATTTCTATATATATTCAATGAATTTATAAGAGAATTTATTTTCTGATTATCAATGAATTAGTAATGATTTCGGAATAAAACAGTGATATAATACGTTTATTAAATTATTCATATATATGCTTAATATCTTATAACATTTTAATCAAGTAGATTAATTGGAAGCTTTATCGTATTGTAAATTTTCTCTTCCAATGTTCAAAGTTTAATAAAAATTTTATGACGAATATAGAAAGATTTTGTTAAGTTTGCTTAGATTTTTCGAATTCTTTGTATTGCTTGTAAAAAAGTATTATGTGCATAAATAGTGCAATACATTGTTATTGATGGATTCATTCAATATACGCTTGTCCAATTTTATAAATTACAAAAAAAAAAAAAACAAAAAACCATTCAAATATTTCATAGAAATGAATGAGACGAATGTCATTGAAATTGAAAAAAATATCTAGTTCGAGTATATGATAACGTAGACGGTAAATAATAATTTCACGTTCTTAATTAGAATTATTTAAAAGATATTCTTCGTTTAAAATCACTATACGTTCTTATATTATATATAAAAGAATATGTGACGTAGATCCATTTTGCAATAATACGAATAAACAAAGCATACTTCTGTAATTAAAAAAATGTAATAAATCAATCAACTTGTAATAAAAATAAATAGGCACGAATGAAATTATTCAGCTATCTTATCGTATATTACTTATAGTTTATTGTTATTTAATCATAATAAAATAATAAGACTATAAGATTATTGTAAATCAATGGTAATAAATGTCTGTTGCGAATTATTAAGTTTTCAATATAGAACTTACAATTTCATGATATTTCTATTGCTCTTTATAATTGAATTTAATATTGAATTTTCTATTTCATAAACTTTGATTATAAAAATATAAATAAAATGCAGATCATTGATAATCGTTTTAGAACTTATAAGGTATTTTTCAAAATTAAACTTGATATGAAGTTAATTAGAAACACCAAATCTTACATGTTTTGAAAAAGAAGAGAAGAAAAAAAAAAATCAAAGTATATGGGCCTTTGTAAAATAATTATTTATTTCACACAATTGTTCAGCCACATATGGCATTGTTTTATTAAACTTCGATCTAGTTCTATAATTTAACAATAATATATAAATTGTTCAAACACTTTATTCATAATAAAATAAATAAAAGTCTTATGGAGCCACTAAAAACTAAAAATTATCGATCCAAAGATGAGGGAAAGCATAAGAATTGTGGGCAAACGAAATAAAAATCGAAGCGAACAAAGGCTAATAAAAAATGCCCTCACGACTCTCTAGGAATCAACGGCTCTCGATTTATCACGTACTGTTTATAACAAGTCGTAACCTTATCCTTTCAGAATCTTGTAGAAATTCTTTGCGAATCTCGTTCGACACTCACCGATTGTCAAACAACAGCCACGACAGGACACACACAAACACACGCGCACGCACGCACACGCACACACGCACACACACACACAAGCACACACACACACACACACACGCACACGAAGTCACTCTCGCGAACTCTCTGCAATCCCACCGCTGTTCCACCCGTCAGTGGTCTTCGTCGTTGTCGTTTCCAGGAGCCTTTAACGTCGCCGGAATTGAGTAGAGACCGCCGATGCCGCGAAAATAAATCGATAATAATTCAGACTAGACATACAGAGGAGAAAAGACGAGTGTCGCGTAATAGCGCCGTGGAAAAAAAAAAAAAAACCTAAAATCTTGTTAAGTGAGGAGCAGAGAGGGCGAATTATTAAAGTTACTTTTACATTTCATGTCGAAGCTTCGTTCCATCTATTTCTTACTTAAACTTAAATTCTTCGATATAGTCTTCGATGATTATAAGCAGAATATATATATATATATATAGAATACACTTTTATTGTATCGATGGAATTATATTTATTTATGAAAACTGGTTCGCGCAAAGTAAATATTATTAATTAAATTACTAAAAAATGTGCATAGAACTTTATAAATTTTTATGCAACTCATTAAAAATAACAGACGCATATTTTCAATTAATGTTTTTGACATTGTATTAACTTTTTGCAAATTCATAACTATTTTTAAAGTATAAACATTCGTGCGTAAAATGTCAATGAAAAGTTGACATGTAAAATATATATTTACCAATTACGAATTGTGCAGCAAAGTGATCTCAATATATGCAATTAGCATACTTTTAAATGTCGATTTCATTCTATAAAATTTAACGTACGATACGATAATACCAAAGTTCGGGCTATTTTTTTTTAGAAATTATTATTTATAAATTGAACGTAAGTAAGTGCATTATATTTATATGTATTTTAATCTACATTCGCGGGAAAATCTTACTGGGGAAAATCTTGAAGGTGAAAATCTTAAAAATACTTTTTAATTCAAACGAGAAAGGAAAGTACCATATAATAGAACAATTATTAGTTCCAAAAAGTGTATCGACCCATACATTATAAAGTATAGCGAATTGAAATCAAAATTTTACTTCTTTTACACAGAATTGCGACGTAATGTAATATAATAAAGTTAAGAAACATATGTAATACCCGAGGAGCAGCAGCAAGCATTTCCATGTTAGCCTGCAGTGATTTTCCGACGATATAAAATTCCACCTATGCAAAAGCTATAAAATATGTACCGATATGTATTCAAAGCTTGGCAATGTATTTCTTTGCAATATTCACAAAACGATGTAGATTTATAAATACTTTGAATGGATAGTACTTTTTAAACGTCTGATATATTAGACGAAAGAAAAATATTTACGGTTATTGAGAATCATAATGCATTGATGGCATGAAATACCATTATTAAACTGATGATAATGAGCAACAAAAACTTGCCAATTATTATTCGATTTATATATTTCCATTCGTGTAACATAATTGAAGAGGTAAAGTTCTTTCGCAAAGACGCGAAATATCTAATGCTACTTTACACAATACAAGGCCATTCAAGTTGCACGTAAAGCATATTGATAGATTGTAAAATTCTAAAATTGAAAGGAGTAATTTGGAGATAAGAATAATGACGTTTTCATATGGTCGTTCAATCAATAAATTTAAATGCACTTAAAGTTTTCGTAAGGCGTTATGGTAGCAAAATTATAGCCGGTCATTGAATTCAGAAGCTTTCTTTATACGTCGATTTTATACATTTTTGTGATTTGACAAAAATTTATTCAACAGCACAATTTAGACTTTATACTCTGAAATATTTCGAAAGAATTAGTATATTAAAAAATATAAAGCAAAAAACAAAAAAAAAAAAACAAAAAAAAAAAAACAAAAAAATTGAAAAACAAAAAACAATTTATATAATTAAGGGAATATTATTATTATTGCACTTGTATAGCTTTTCGCAGCATATTTCGATTATTTTGCTTCAGATATTCGATAAAATAAAATAAATTTACAAAATGCGTATAATAATGTATATCTGAAATTGCGAAAGATTAGAAAAATCAATAAAGTGTTATGAGCAACAAATGCACATTAAATTACATGAAATTATATGCCTTAATTGCGTGAAAAATGAAAATTACTTATTTATAATATTTGCTAATTATGAACTATTGAATATGATGGATATTGGAATCGATAATTGAAAGAATATCGATAATATTGAATCATCAGTTTTTCAAATCATAAACTCTCCCAATCGTTTCCTTCGTTTTAATATTCACGAAATTCTTATATAACGTACTTATCTTATCCACCCTTTGCTCTAAATAAAAATCTACATCAGCGTCTCACTTCCCCATCTTCTCTCGCCTACACGTTTTACAATTTAAAGGCGACGCAACGGCGTCAATTTACAAGTCGCGGAGGCATCTAAATTCCTTCCCCTCCTCCATTCCATCGAAAGACGAATCGCCGGGGACATAAATAACTGATCGTATATCACCCCCTGACCTCGTAGGGTTGCAACCATATTTAACCTTTACTCTCATACATACACACACACACACACACACACACACATATATATATATATATACATATTCTTATTTATATTCCGTCGGTTTTAAATACCGTGGAAAGTACGTGACTGCTGACTCGTCAATGCATTATGAATTTATCATAAATTATAAATCATGCCACTTGTTATTAACGTGTCTCGTTGGTTAAATACTTCGATTTCCTATTAATTACATTAAAGTACGTTAGTTTATAAATTTTATTTTCTGAAACTTGTATGTGGATGGGTTAGTGCTGTTTAATTCAAACTATGATGAGCTTCGTCTCGTGTAAAAGATTCAAACACCTATTAATGCGAAGATATCATGATAAGCTTGACGAGCTTATGAATGAAACAAAATGAATATGTACCAAATGGCTTCCGAAATAATTAGGAAATTAAATGTTAATATAATGGCGTACGCTCAACGATCTTCTAACGCTAACAGTAATGATACAAAGTGTTTACGCTCAAACACCTTACCTTACATCAATTTTCACGCTAATGATTGAAAATTCTTCTAAAATGTTTAAGTCAATAGGAATATTTTCTATTTTTTGTTTTATTTAATAAGGATATATGTTATGTGATGAAAATTGATTGCATTTTAGAGACGTCGGTGTACGTCTAAAAGTATGTTAAATAATTGACAAGACGACAAAGAGTCTCAGCAATGCACATACATGCGCTTGGATGCATGGATAGGCTCTTCGAGGAGAAAAATCCCAGTTGTACCGGGACGTGCCGTTAAATCCGTTTCGGTATTTCATTTCAACAATACCACGTGGCATATATTACCTTCAAAACTCCACACTAAGGGCATTGCAGTTTTGCAAACACATCCCCGATCCCACACCAACCCCCGATCAAAGTATTAAATCTATCTTATAACAGATTATTAAAACATTGCCAGTATATCTAATCATGATAAAACCGGTCGCTTGAAACATCTACAGTGAAGTTCATAGAAAGTAGCGGCAAAGCTAAAATCCGAATCCGTACAAAGATTAACCGCGTCCGGACAGACAAATCCCTCGACTCCCAGGAGTAAAAGTCGCTCGAGCCGTCGCTCGTCCAAATGATAATTGCCATGGGACGCTTAGCATGTACGGTGCGCGCGCTTTCTTCCCTCGGAGTGAGCCTCCACCCCCCCCCGCCCCCCCCCCCCCCCCCCCCCGCCACCACCACCACCCCCACCACCACACTAATTTAGCCAGCTAATTAATCTTGGCGACTGACCCGCAGTCCGCCAACGGAGCTTCCTGACGTCTCGGGCTACCCGTTGCTGTTGGCCGAGCTGACACGGGACCGTAGGTGGCCGACCTCGGACATCAAGAAGCTCGTCGGCGGCAATCTCCTGCGCGTCCTCAAGGAGGTGGAAAAGCACGCGGCGAGCCTCTCGAATCAGTCGCCCGCCGAGGAGTGGATACCCCGGGAGCTCATCGAGGACACGGCTTACTGCAGGTACCTTGGTGTCTGAAGCGGCTTGCCCGCCCAGCCTTCCTTACCTCGCTTCCTCGACGGCGCCGAGTCTCTCGTACTTTTATGTTCCGGAGAGGAGCTGCGCCGCAATGCCGAGTCTGCACTGTGACCGACGCCTTTCGCCTTTTTCTTTTTTCTTTCTTTTTTTTGTTGTTGTTGTTGATGTTTTTGTTTTAAATTGTTTTTATTTTTTATTGTTCTTGTGATTCATTTCACATTTGTGCGCTGCCGAGGGCAATCGAGTTGTCGATTGAGCTCGATCGACTCCCTTAAACATCATCCGACGAATTCAATTCCACAATGTCTGGGCCAAAGTTATTATCTTATGACGGTATTTTTCAGATTGTCGAACTATTGAAGATTTATACGATTCACCAAGCCCAACCCGACCTTCTTTCGTCTATTGCGTGTATAATAAATATAATATAATAAACTGACGGTAAAATAAACTGTCCAGCGTATTTTAATGGCATTCAAATTATATGTTAAATTCCGTTTCAAGAGGCGCCCGCGCGTTTACTCGATATCGTGCAAAAATTCAGTGACGCTATTGTCGGATTGATTTTTACCATCGATTCTTGGTTAACCGCAGAAATATCATATTTGCAAATCTGCTTCAAAAGCTCGTTATAAAGCGCGTACGTTGTCAGATCACTTGTTGCGTTGATTCATCGTGTAAACGGAGAAGTAGAAGCCCATCGTTGTAATTGGTCTCTTTAATAGAGCTTCGACTCCGTTGATTAGAGAGAAAGGACAAACAATTTAAGAATCCACTAAATAATGCATCCACGTAAATTTATTTCACCCAACATTCCTTCTTTCTTGTTCTTTGATTGTCCCTTCGATGATTTAGACGACAGCATAATAATAATAATGATAATAATAATGATAATAATGATGATAATAAAATTTAATTACTGAAAAATTTCATTTTACGGACAAGCATTCGTCCCCTTGATCGACCTTGATTAAATAAAAACATCCTCCCAATTAAGAGGTCATTACCACTTGCTAAAATATATTTGTAACAGTAATAATATCTTATTATATGGAGAATAAAAAGTGTCTGGTGAATGAACTGAGCGGAGCTGCAAACTCGATTAACGAGAGGGGAGATTTCATTTTGCTTATCTGTTTGTAATATGTCACCCTCGGATGCACAACTGACGGATCACTAAAATTTATACTTGAGAAATATTAAGATATTCGGTTGTGAACTAAATGTAACGCTAAATTAAAATTATTTTAACAAAATAATATTGACTGTAAGAAAGAATCGTTAAATGTGAAATTTCCGAGGGTATATTGATCTTCATTGATAGATGGGAAATTAAATTCTGTAAAGATAAAATAAAAGGCCTCGGGAAGAATTTGTGCATTTAGTCGACGAAGCTACGTGAAACGTGAAACCTCTTCCCCTCGAGCTAATTCAGCAAACGTCCGCTGCTCTCGTTACGATTATTATAATAATTATTATTTTAATTCATCGACGGCCAATTTCTATTAGCTGATATTGTTCGCACGTCTCGCATGTTTATAACCAACTGTAAAAAGTTTCAGAAAAAAAAAAAAAAAAAAAAAAAAAAAAAAAAAGATGAGAAAAGAAAAGTAAACAAAGACACACTGTATACCGTTATTCAAATAAGAATAATAAAAGTCTAACGTTAAACGATTACGCTGACCATTAAGTGCATCGTATTCCATTGACGGTTGGGTGAAATTTTCAAATTTAAAGAGAGAACTCGGTAGGACGTACATTGTTATGAGAAGAACTTTTATAATTATTCTCGATATTATTGGGCGACTTTTCAGGTTTCATTTTTTCAAAAATTTCTTTACAATCCATTTTCTTTACTCTCGATTTCAATTAAAATATAAACCACCTTATTAGTAATTTGGTAAAAAAAAAATTAATAAGAAAACTGCGGGTTCTTAATAGCTGTTATATTGCTACTTGAAATTTGAAAATGAAGTTATGAAAATTATTAAAAAGACTTTTTGAAAAGGTGGTGAACGATTTAATTGCACAAATGAGGTAGCGACAATGATACAACAACATATAATTAAATACGTGAAAATTTTCTAGCTTATTATCAATAATGTATAAAAATAATTATATAATTATTGATATTTGTGCGTGCGCGTGTGCGCGCGATGATCGAAGTTGCTTCGCTATTTAACTAGGCTAATGTATTTTAAACTTTATTGATTTTCTACAAGAATGCCAAAAAATTTTTGTAAAATAAAATCACGTATTTAATTCAATTCAATAAGCTTTATTATTTTTGTGCAAATATTTTGAAAAAATGAAAACCAGCCTTTTATAAATATTAAGAATCGATTTTATCCATTTTTTATATTATACCAACATTATTGTAAATGAACATATACGTTTTTGATGCAAAAATGATTAATTATTTGATTCAATGAAGCACCTAAGTACGAGTGCTGCTCGTTAGCACAATAATTTTGTGGTAAATTGTATTATTTGTAAATTGTATTGTACAATAATTTTCTATTATTAAAAAATGTATTAAATACATGCATAGGTGATATTGATGAATTTCAATATCACAAGAGATTTCAATAATTGTTATTTGAAAATATTATAATAAAATATTAAAGTTTTCAAATATTATTGTCTAATTTTATTCTTATTAATAACAAGCCCAATTTACAAAAAAAGAAGTTTTTAAAATAATTAACCAATCGTATTATTGTTGAAATTTAATAGAAAAATTTTAACTAGGCTAGTCTACTGTATCCTTATATGCTTTTTTTCATCAATTTTCTTTTATTTATACATTTAAATATATGTATATGTATATATATATATATATATATATATATATATATATATATATATATAAATAATTGTAATATGATGAACTTCCAACGATTTTATAAATTCAATTTTTATCGAAATTAAAACAATTTTAAAAGCTTTCTTATATATTTATTCAACAATTATTTTATTATTAAATTATAATATATATATATATATATATATATGATGGTAAGAATAATAATGGTTTTTGAATTATAAAACAATTACATTTTGCCTCATTGTATTCTGGTAGAAATATTATGTTACAGGTCTCGATTAAACTTAATAACTTATTGTGACATTTATTATTATTAATTTACCAACAATTACTTTACACTGCTGAAATAAATTAATTGTATTTTCATGTAAATAAAATAGCAGTGCTGTAAATCGAAATGACTATTGACAATTTCTTTTATTACCTCCCTTAATTCCACGAATAATTAAGCAAAAATATTTATATGCATACTTCACTACTTTTTCGTTTATTTTTCTGTTTTTTCTTTCAAACGAGACTATCGTGGTCTAATAACAATAACAAGTTGAATAAGAGTACAATTTCTTTATACATTGGTGAACTTATTTATTATCCTTATCGTTTCAATAATTAAAGCTTACAATAATACAGCATTTTCAATAAATATCAGGCGAAGCTTAAATTTTAAAAATACCATCAAGTGTGTAGTATTCATTATCAAAATAATGATAATTAGCCTTTGAAACGAAGTCTTATGCTTTTTATATTTTCGAAATACTGAAATAAATTTTTATTCTAATATGTACTTTATTTGTCTCGGCTTACGTCGTTAAATTCACTAAAATTAAAGTCTAAATTACATTATGTAATTTATAAATTTGTACCACATCTTATTTTAATTGTAGAAGGTATGCTTGAAAAATTAATTTAATTTGAAAATTTAATTTCATAGAATTTCTCGTACGAACGTAATATTCACGTAATAATTCGAAAAGAAACTTATTTCCACGATTGAAAAGTTGATTTAATAAATACATTTTATAAAAAAAAAAGAAAAAAAAGTGAACTACTTACAATAATAATCAAAGTAAAGGAATAAAAATAAAAGAGTATTGTATTTGAAAAGATCGCGCGAAGAAGGAAAGTTCACTGGGTTGTCGCTCTCAAAACTTAAGCGGACGATCATTTATCATCTGAAAGTTTTGCAGTACAGAACGGAACTTGGTTTCATCTCAAAAGAAAATTCATTTTTCCCTGGGCAAACAATCTGGAACAAGCGTAAACATTAAACCCAATCGGGCAGCTTTTGTCTGAAATGAGGCGATCCCAGATGCGAATGCCTGGAAATAAAAAGATGCGATATAATCGTCCTCCTCGCAGAAGATGGTGTCACAAGTGATAGAAAGTAAAGTTAACTGATATGCGAAGTTGAAAGCTGTGTGCCTTAGTCGTAAGTAAGGATATGGAAAGTATTTTTTGCAGACATTGTATAAACGGATTTTTCTTCAAACCTGCGACCGTTGTTATACCCTTTACTTTTTTTCTTTTTGAATTATTATGACATTCTAACCGAAATGCAAACTTCGAATATAGTGTTATTAAGATAATCGACATAATTTATTAAACGATTTATATTTATAACATACTAAAACTATAGACTTCTTTTTATTTATTTATTTATTTATTTATTTATGTTATATATAGAATGTTAGATTTTTCATATAATTTGACACACTTAAATTATATGTAAAACGTTTAAAAGCTTAAAAAAAAAAAAAAAAAAAAAAAGAAAGAAAAAAGAAAAAAGGAAGAAACAAAGTAAGGAAAACAATATTATTGAATACAGTGATATCAATGTTTTATGAAACTTATAATCGATTAGTAATGAGTAGCGAATCCATGATTAATATGATGGTATAGAGAAATATTTTTATCATAATATTATAAGCAATGTTAATTAGCACCTTAAATAGCTTCGAGTAAAATCATCGACACAAAAATTTTAATTCTCTACATAAAAAAAAAAAAAAAAGCGGGTCCCCCCCCCCCCCCCCCGCCCCCCAAATCGACGATTTTAACGATGATTGTAAAATTATCTTTTCAAGATAACTGGTAGAACTTTTGGGGAGAAAATCCGTGCATTATGCAGTTTATGCGACTCTACGTAATTCGTGTGATTGTAATGTAACAACAGGACGGAATTAAATATTCGCGTGGGTGTGAGTGCC